CAATTCTCTTTATTGAATTGAACATATTCATCCGACAAGTGAGGCTTGCTCAGTTGGTAAAAGCACCTCCACCTACGACCAGGCTTGCTCAGTTGGTAAAAGCACCTCCACCTACGATCGTTAGGTCCTGGGTTCGAGTCATGCTGGAGGGGAAGTGTGGAAACACTATAGATCCTCCTAATTTGGGAGGGGTAAAAAAAAAAAAATATATATATATTCATCCATTTTGACTACTTTAGCATATTTTCTAGAACTAATTTCGGGTCTGGTTCAGAAAGACAACTCTCAACCAAAAAAATAAGCTACAACTGATCAAGATCAATAAACTAAGACTCTATTGGCAAAGTTCATTCCATGATTATCTTTATGGAAGGGCCTCTTTTCCTATTTGGATTTATAACTTATGGTGTTGCCCTCGTCCTTTCTCTTAAATATATATGCTTTCATGTTATTATTAAATCCCATTTTTAATCAAAAACCTATTTAAGGAGAAAAAGAGAGTTCACTCTAGGAGCTTTCTTGCATCAACTCATTATTTTTTGGGTTTATTTATTCTGTTATCTGAAGCTTAGCTATCCCCACACTCCATGCATTCGCAAAGGTTGGGTGGCACGCCAATTCATCAAGCTGGTAATATTTACAGGATTGATGGGATTTATCATAGAACAGGTGATTTTTTCTTGAAGGTTCAAACTGCATTTGCTTCAGTAAAGCGTAAATATATTCTGACGGGATGCATCCTTGTGCAGTACATTAACCCAATTGTGCAAAACTCACAACATCCTTTGAAAGGAAACCTTTTATATGCCATCGAGAGGGTATTGAAGCTTTCGGTTCCAAATTTATATGTCTGGCTCTGCATGTTTTACTGCTTCTTTCATCTTTGGTACGTCCCTCTACCTTTAGTTCATATACTCTTTACATCTTTTCCCTATGTTCAATGTACGAATCGTTTTTCTTGCCAGAGATTTGTGCTTTAAAATTGATTACAAGAATCATTAACATCATTGAAGTGTATGTCTGCACAGTTTCCCCCTTTTTCAATTGAAACATGTTTATTTGAACTTTTGATGGTCATTTACTAACTGTTGAAGCNATATATATATATATATAAAGAGGAAAAAAGTCCCAAGAACAAGAAAGTGCCTTTAACTTGTGAATGCCTTAATGCCAAGGCTGTTCGAATCCTTTGAACAGTTATGATTATTCACATGACATTAGAACTCATCTCATCAGATGTTTAGACTTTAGACAATGTATTCTTCCTTGTCTTTGTTAGTGTTAAAGCATCAAAATCATGACATCATGATTTATCTCTTTGCTTTTTCTTCGAAATGGCTTTGGTGTTAATGGATATGAAAAGCTTCACCTTCTCCATGAAGTACAGAGCATAACGTTTTATCCCTGAATTATTACTGAAACAAATATTTGGCTTATGTGCCCTTGCATCAAAGCGAATGAGCTCTATTTACATCATTTAACTTTGTATTCAGGCTAAATATACTTGCGGAACTACTATGTTTTGGTGATCGTGAGTTCTACAAGGATTGGTGGAATGCCAAAACAATTGATGAGGTAGATTCAAATATCACTTTGACTTTTTGGTTATATCTCAACTGTTTCAGAGCTGGTTGGAGTTTCTTATTCATTTTGTTACGTGATTACCCTGCTGCGGCTGCTGTTATCAGTACTGGAGGATGTGGAATATGGTATGCGTATCTGCCTTTTTTTCTAAATCATTGCCTGATTCTTATGCATGCAAACATGTGGTTGTCTTGTTGACCAAGAAGTAGAATACCAAAAGTACATTTTCGAATGATGTTATATCCTGTTGTCATTCTTGGTTTGTTTTGTCACTCAGTACAGCTTTTTTTAACAGAAGCAAATGTCTGTCTTCTCTTTCACTCCACATTTTAACAAAAGATCTTCAACATGTGACTAATGCAGAGGGCTATATTGTAAAAAGAAGTAGGTGGTGAAGTGTAAGCCTAAAGAGTATGGACACCAACGTGTGTCCAGAAAATTTAGTTGGTAAAATGCAAAAAAGCTTAAATAAAAGGTATAATCAAGTCACATGAGAGAGATTTTCCGCAATGCGAGATCAAAACACTCATGTGTCCTAAGACTTGCATAAAGAAATTCTATCCAGGTCCCCTTTGGTTCATGTGCTTTACTGGTAATGGAGGACAAAGTAGTTGTGGGATTTAAGGTTGTGTAATAAGGTCTCTTGGGATCGGTGCAGCTTTGCAAAATCGAAGTGCAAGCACATGATATTAAGTTTACATCTTTGTCAAGCATTTCTCGTTATTCGGCAACATTAGTAACCATGTATCTGGTGGTTATTGCAGCCTGTTCATAAGTGGATGGTTCGTCACATTTATTTCCCTTGCTTAAGAAACGGAATTCCAAAGGTACCTTCTTACTCTTAATTGCTCTTTTGGGCTTCTTTGTATCCTATTTCCTTCTGCTCTCCTCTCCTAATTAACTAATTGTATTTCGTCTGCTTTTCTTTTTACCTTGCTGAGGCAGAAGGAATTACCTTTACTTCCATTTCTGCGGCAATCTATGTTCACTTGATGAATTTTTATTCAAAATGCTCTTTCTCAGAAAATTTATGATAGCACTTCCATCTTTCATCTCTGGCCGATTTCAAGCACCAATATTTCCAGTGTAGATGGGTATAAAATCTCAAGATTACACCTATATTCGGAATGAAATAGCAAAAGAAAAGAAAAAAGCTTGCCTCTGATATTCGGCCTTCATAAAGTACTTTTTTAGCTGGCAAGTTCAGTGTAGTGTTTACATTTTCCTATCATATTCTAATTGGTGAGTCTGTAAATAGGATAAAACGCCCACCTGCTGCTTCAAATGATCTTGCACTCACTGCTTTGACAAGACTAATACTCGCTAACACTTGGTGCAGGGGGTCGCAATACTGATTGCTTTCCTTGTATCTGCTGTTTTCCACGAGGTATATTGTTTCTGTCCCTCTTCCACATTTTATAATGAAAGGAGGTAATATCCGCTTACGATTGGCCTGAGATGACATGTTCCGGCGTATCTGCAGCTGTGTATTGCTGTTCCATGTCGCCTTTTCAAGTGGTGGGCATTCATGGGAATTATGTTCCAGGTAATGGCATTTAACATAGTAATTTAACATGTTATTGGAATTAGGTTACCATTTTCACCAGGTTGCCTGTATACTTACCCGTAATTACCTCATAAGCGACCTAACGAGTAAATGTTTTTTACATCGCTAGTGCATCAAATTTAAACGCGTTTTTATTTATGTTTCCAAAGAACATTGCTTTTAAAGCAGAACCAATTGAAAGCCAAGGTCTACTATCTTTGTTCTCCATGCTGAATGTTAAAATATGGTGTTGTATCTCAGGTTCCTTTGGTCATACTCACAAACTTCTTACAAAACAAGTTCCAAAGCTCGATGGTATGTTTTAGGGAGCGGTTATATTTGCATACGCTAAGCTGATTTCTTTTTTTCTTCCCCCTTCTAAATCCATGTAGAATATAATTGCAAGCGATTGATATTAGATTATATATGGGAATGTTTGTAGGTGGGCAATATGATGTTCTGGTGCTTTTTCTGCATTCTTGGTCAGCCAATGTGTGTGCTTCTGTATTACCACGATGTGATGAATAGAAAAAGCAGTGCACGTTAAGCTTCATCCAGGGATGAATTGTTGTATGAGCAAGTATTTTAAGTTTTGGATCCCAAGCTCTATTCTACTGTTTCTGGCAAGGCATTCCTGCTATTTCCTTCATCAGTTCCAACAATATTCAGATGATACGAAATATCTGTTTGGAATGCACAACACAAGCCACGGCCAGAGATGCTGATGTCTCACATTTTATTGTGTTCTTCATGTCGGAGAAATGTAAAATACTATCTTGAGATAACTCTCATGTTAGTAAATACCTTTTTGCCTCTAATTTCTCATTCATCTGTTCTTCTGCTTCAGGCTGGCTGTGATTCTAGCATGAAATGTAAACAATAACTGATAAACAAAGCCGATTGGATTTAGATTGTTACTCTTAAAAAACAAAAAACAAAAAATATATAAGCGATTTGTTCCTACTCTATTTGGTAGTATTTCGGACCTGTGAAAGCATGATGCAACTGTATTTTTCCGTTGACGGTATAGAAAAACAAACAACAATAGTTATACCTCAATCCCAACAAGTTGGGGCTCATATAACAACAATGATAGAACTAAATTTAGTAATGTCTATTTCCTATTTTTATATGATTTTTAACTTCGAGTTTCCAAAATAAAACTAGTGTTATAATTTTTTTTTAAAAGGTTCTTTGTCACCTAACAATGTTTTGGAAAACTAGAACACTGGATTTAATCTGTTCCCCCAAAACCTAATGCTGATCATCAATTCTATCGTTTTCTAGACTTGTACATTAGTAAGAGACTTTTATTTAAAAGCTCTAGAAAATTATGGTTGAATCTTTCTTCCGGATTGAAAGATAACGACTTTGAGTCTAGAGATAAGCTTAATTTGGTACATTCAATCTTTCCTTTTAATTTATGTGGTGATGCATGATTCTGCTTGGAGTTTAAAAGGAAAAAAATTAAAATTAAAGTTATATATTATTTATGTGATTATAAATTATCTCATTAGTAAAAAGTTAAAATTAACTCTAAATAAAAAATGTATCACATTTATTTTGGATCATAGAGTATAATAATGGGACAAAAAATATAAGAAGTGTTGATTTAGTGTAATTTACTCTTCTTTTAGGAAACAGAAGTCGTGCTACGCGTTCATTGCTGACCATTTTTAGACCACCTTATTCGTATCGATCAGAATCACATGCAATTCTACCTTATAAGTACCACCCCCATTTTGCACCGACACAACACAATCTTAAAAAAAGCAAAATCCACAGCTGAATTACATGAACTACTACCCCCAAATTCAAGAATCAGAAACATCGAAGATTTCCTGAAAAAGGAGATTTTTAGCTTCCAAAAATGGAGGACTTCAGATCTAAGTCATATAACAATTCGAGAACACAAGCTGAAAGCTATAGCTATACTACTACTGATGTAGGCTACGGTAACGGTAACGGTTACGGGGAACCCAATCCAAACCCAACTGGGTTTCGAGGAGATCTACGATGTTACAGTGCTTCCTATGCATCTTCTTCAAATAATAACAACAATAATACCCAGATGGAGTTGTCGGCGGCTAAAGATGTAAAATTCAAGAAAGGCGGCAAGTCAAGTAATGGTTCTGTTTCTAAGAGCTGGAGTTTTAGTGACGCAGAGTTGCAGAGGAAAAAGAGGGTGGCTAGTTATAAGGTATACACAGTTGAAGGAAAAGTGAAGGGATCAATAAAGAAGAGTTTTCGTTGGATTAAAGAGCGGTGTACCAAAGTTGTCTATGGCTGGAGGTGATTATCTCCACATACAAAAAAAAAAAGTTCAAATTTTTATGATTCACTTTCAAGTATGTTATACAGTGTTTTTTTCTGGTTAAAACTCATTTCTGATATATTTTACTACTGGAGTAATATATTACAATTGAAGATGAACCCGAAAAAATGTGCATTCGGGATCGGGCGGAGGCCTTAAATCAGTAGGGCAATAGCATAGCTATTATTGACCTGACCCCTATTACATTACTTAAGCCTACTCTTTCTTCAAGATACGAAACGAGCAGCCGAAAACGGCTGTCCCTATTGTATTTTAGATGGAGTCATCTACAGGGCTAAGAATCTTACCTTTACTTAGAGAGGGGTAGCGGTACCATGCTCTTCCGTGCTCGTAGGTTGACTCACCTATGCATCCCGACTAAGGTCTCACAAACGTGCACTTCCCTTATGCATCCAACCGCTTCACTAATGTGAATAGGTTATACAGAAGGGTAGGTTGGTTATATACTCTTATGCG